ATTTTGAATAGAAATTCGCCTTGCAACTTACATGACTTTTAATATAATGCTACTTAGACTAACATTCTTGTCGGATTCCAGTTTCTTGAAGAAAGGATCGAAAGTCCGATTGATATAAGTAGCATCTCTCCTCAAGGTATGTGCAATCCGTATTCGTTTACGATAGTCAACACACTGATCCGATCTATCATGAATTATTTTTTATTAATACATTTAACAGCTGAGAAAATGAGTGGCTTATGTTATTCTCAGATAAGATCGATCAGCTTGGTGCCATTTCACTCTTGTAACCAGCAGAGGCGTGATCAGTAAGGTGCGAGTGTGTCAAAAAAAATGACTTTCATTAAGAATATTTCTCTGGTTCTTATAGTAGTTGTAAAAGTTTATAGCTGCTATGATTTATTCATAATTTTACCTGTAGACTAAAGACTTTAAATATTCTGCTATAAGGCAATTTTGCATGCGCTTAAGAAGATCGAAGCGCGCTTGTGGCCGCAGATGAACATAATCAGTATAATAATCTAGGATTGTCGCACATATCGTTTCAATTCCATCTGAGTTTCGTCGCCTAAATTATTAAATTAAATTATTAAAAAAATTTATTTTTGGTTCAAGTGTGGTTTTTAAACTTGGCTTATAGCTGCACCATAGAGAAAGACTATAACACAAGAGAAGTAGTATATCTAAGAGATATATTTTTTATAAGCGCTTTTAGCAAAAAAAATTGAAGAAACCATTGTTTCCGGAGAAGTTGATCGAAAAATGTGAGTAAATCACATCGAACTTCTTCATATAGCATTTCTATCCTTAAAATAAATCTTAATTTTAACATTCCCTTATAATTCCTTTATTTCATTGCTTAAGATTCAGCATAACCGATTGCTTTTTTTTGCTTACTTTTTTTCTTACTTATTTTTAACTTATTTAATTACTTAGAATTCCTTCAACCTCTCGTTTTTTTCAATAATTTCAATTTCCTTATAATTGTTTATATATTATAATTATCTATTATTAATTATATATTATTATATTTATATAATATTATAATTATTTGGATTTTGCATAATTCTTTTCTGTGTTATTTCAATTATTTCACATCTATGCAACATATTTGAAATATATTTCATTGAAATTGAGAAAGAAAAAGAAAATTAACCCATAATTTGCTGTATTATAGAATCTGTGCTTAAGATTTTCAATTTTTGCACCGAGAAATTCGGGTGTTATGCAAAAAATATCATCGGAAGCCAAAGAAATGACCGAAGAAATTTCAGATGTCGTTTCTTGTTCCTCTTCATTTCTCAAATTGCTAAGCAAAACTTCTTTATTATTTTCCTCGCTTTTACTTTCTTCTATATTCGAAGAACAAGGCTGAAAAATATTATACAAAGAGACTTCAGCCAGAGTAATAACTGCTTCTTGCATGGCTTTCTTTATTTTAGCCTGATATTTCGATCTTATATTTGTGGAATTAGATGGCTTTTGTTGATCTAATTTTTCAACAATTGCAGTTTTTATGCTCTCGCTATCAGTTTCACTTAATTGCTTTTGAGAAGCCCTCGAATCATTTTCTTGAATCACATTTTTATGGCCAACCAGATATTTTTTCAATTTATCCACTGATTTTGCACAATTATCTAAATCATTGACGACAGCAATCTGAAACAAATAAATAATAAAAATTAACTCTTTTACCTCGAAATTCTTAACCTTACTTGAAGGTCGAAAATTCAAGTGAATAAAGAAAATGAAAGTATAAAAATTATTTCGACCTCAAATTTTAGCCCAAAATTCCTTGGATTTTAGGATCCCTAAGAGTAACACTGGTTTAAGCTATTTTCATTTAATATTACGACACTGAATATTAGGTTTCTGTATTTTCTTTATTATGTGTAATATTATGTTATAATCGTGATAACGGCTGATAACAATGTTGGAAAGTTGCAAATGTTTTATATACACCATTGCACCAATATTATTTTTCACAAAATTAAACAAAGAATCACTTAAAAGAAGCTTTTAACTAACCATCATAATAGTAAAATTATTCGCACTGTTCCTGCTTTCATAGAATTGTTTTTTTAAATCAGAAAGAGTACCTAAAAAAAAAAAATTTTTTTAAATCATTTTTTTAAAGTCATTTCTTGAATCTGTCATTTAAAAAAACTCGCTGCTATCAGTTAAATTATTTGAATCCTGGAAAAGTATCAAAAAATATTTGAAATAAATTCTTTCTCATATTGCATCACCAAACTAGCGAAGCAATCTAATCAGAAATGGTGAATTTAACTAGATTTTGGGATTCAATAGGTTGATTTAATCGATTATTTCTATTTAAAGACGCCGATGCGGTGGTTTTAGTCCCACCAGGAATGAACGCGTTCAAAAATAGGAGTGGTATATATGTAGCGCTGGTGATTTATCTGATTCTTCTATCACCTGCAAAATTTGCGATAAGCTTCGATAAGCCAGCGGTATGAGTCCAACCAGAAACGGTGAACGCTCTTAGAAAAAGAATTATAGCATAAAAAAACTATCAGAATTTTAGATTATTGTAATGCGAACACAAATGGATTCGATTCCCTGATGAAATATGTAATATGTAAACATCTTAGATGAATGAACCTTATCTCTAATAATCAGTGTGGTCGGCTAAGCCAGACACCCAGAAGAATTTAACGGGCTATGCTTAATTCAGAAATAAAATAATTTCTTTTCCTTTTTTGCAATTATATGTGTAATTAAAACGTTTTTATTTGTAAACGTTTCAATTAATATTAGAATTTTTCATAATTAAATCGAAACTAAAACAGACAAAATTTAGCAATTCGGCGATTATTTTTTATCAAAAAATTGTAAATATAGAAAGAAAGAGAAGAGTCGCCTTCACTTACTTTCGAAATATGTTGTAACTTTGAAAAGTTCATTTAGACAAACGTCGATTACAATTAATATCATTTGTTCATTGATTTCTGTAGCAATCGCAATCTGTAGGTCGCAATTCGTTAACATTTAAGTATTTTAACGTTTTTTACCACCATATTAGGAATTTTTGGATTCGAAATCTATTTTTTGGTTCTTATCGAGAAGGCAGATTTATGCGACAAATAGAAATGGGCTCTAAAAAAACAATCTCCGAAAAACGTCCTTTATTTATGCGATGCGTTTTTCGTAAATCCAATGATAATTTCATAGTTTAATGGACGAAGTTTCTTCACCACTCATTCTCTACTAATATTTCAAAAACAAGAAATGCAATCAAAAAATATTATTAATTTTCAGCTTCAATCCAACCTAATTCTATATCAATTTAAAATTCTCATTTTTGTTCGATTTTCAGATTTTTACAATTGTATGCATAATTGGTGAATGAAATTATTGGAAAATTACCTGATCATTAGCGATAGAGAATAATATATATGGAAGAAGTGTATAAAAGAAACCATTCTTATCCTCCTCTAAAATCTCTTGAAAATCTTTTGCATTATTCGCAAACTGAAAAAAATCAATTATTATAATTAAAATATAATTATAAATATAGTTTAAAAAATTTTTATAATTATTATTTCGGCAAATAAATTTAACCGCTCACCATTTCTGGTTAGACTTGCACCGCTGGCTTCCCTGACCAGATAAATTCTATTAGAAAGTACTTGGCAATAGAGGCGGGTCGTTAACTCTGATTTTTTGAAAGAGACAAGTTTACTTTTGCCAGGAATTGGAGCTCAATATTGGCGCTCGATTGGATAAAATTATTAATATATAAGGAATGATTTAAAAAAAAAGATTAGCCTGTAACTGAACAGCCTTAAGCATCCATTCATTAGCCTCTTTCCTTACGATATTGATAAATCTAAAAATCGATCTATAAACGATGATTTTTATCGAAATCATCTCAAAATAATTTAAATTTATAAAGAATTTTATATTTATTTTGGAGCATATATGAATCAAACTTACTGCTTATTAAGCTGTTGAATTTTTTTGGATGGAAGAAGTTGAAAATCAGCAAGTAAAGCAGAAGTGTTGATTTCCAAAAATTTCATTCCGAGCATTTGCTCACCGCTATAACGTCTCTCATTAGAAAATGGCATTTAAAAGAAAAAAAATTTCCGAATTTCCTTAAATTTTAACCTACATAATTCACAATTCAAATGGTTATCAATTGCTTATTTTGTTCATTTTATCGGACGCTGAAAGCGCTTCGCACGTTGGACGAGCTTAATTTGCTCCTGGTTAGATATTTATCGAGACCTATTTCGCTGGAATCTCACCAGCTCATCAGTGATTGCGATCATCATTCCATCATTTGTGAAAGCAAAATAAACTAATGATATATTAACATGTCGTCTCCGATTATGCAAAAAAGTTTTGATCAACAATTATTCACCATTGATATAAAATTACTCGATGCGACAAGATAATGTTTTTTATCTATTTTTTATCCTTTGTGAAAATTCTGTTTTCAACAAATCTTTTCTGTGTTTTTCCTAATAATCAACTAGCCAATTCAAAATTTTAGGAATTTGATGTCAAAAATATATTGATGTCAAAAAATATTGAGCTAATAACTATTCAATGCACATTCATATTTTCGATACAAATTTCTCTCTCTTATAAGCAAACGTAAAAGGCGATGGAAAGCCGATTTCTAGTTTCTATAATGGGGAAAGAATTAAGCAAGAAAAACTAACGGGTAATGCCGAATCCAACTTAAAAGTTGGATTAGTTCACGTTTATCCAGTTCGTGCGATGCTATTTCATATAACTGAAATCGTAATCGTTTTATGAGATTTCACCTAAAGTGTCCAAAGTCTTGCGATAAATTCGCATATTTTTTGATGGAATCAACGAAAAATCATTGAAAAAAATTAAAGAAATAGAAATGAAAAATGTGTAAATTTAATATTAATATTACTTTTTTAGATATACCAGTATGATAAAAAATCACAAATTGATCGTATAATTGATGATCTCTCGGAAAAATCTTTAGGAAACTTTTAGCCACATATAAATCTTCTACGATAAACATTCGACAAATTTCGAGATATCTAAATTTTATTAATTTAAATTAACCTAAGAGTCGAAGAATTATTTGTCATGGAATTATGGAATTTTCCACCAATTTTAGAAGAATCGTATGAAAAATAAAACGGCTTAATGGGTTGATCTCATTTCCGAGCGTCTCTCTCTTGTTGAGCTCTCGACAAGAATAAATCTGTGCTTCAAAAGTTCGATTCATATGTGATTTTACCAGTGATTTATTTCTATCGGCAAGTGAGTCCTTGGCAAAATTTTTCTGGTCCGATAAACTAGTGGAGGAAATCTAACCAGAAATGGTGAGCGTTTTTAGAAAAAAATAAGAAAACAAAGAACATGAAGACTGGCATATATTAAGACGCTAGTGGAACCAGTATGACTATCTTCTTAATATAATTCTTATCCTATCATTGCATCAACCGAGTCGCGATTATTATCTTTATAACTGTCCACAGTGATATTTTACTGATTTAATGAAAAATTTAACCGAAGCGCATATAAAATTTATTTTTTTTGGTAATTTAAAATTCTGATAAAAGGTTGCCTTGTGACCCAATTTTTATTATCATCTTTATTTTCGATATGAAGCATCTCGATACGCTGCTGAATACGTTCTTTAATCAAACTGAAGAATTCGATTCGCCATTTCTGAGGTCGACGCGAATTTTTATAGGATCGACTATCATAAATATCATCAACTCTATAACATTTATTTATATAGGAAACAACCAAGCAGAGCGGAAGCGCGGAAGGGAAGGAATGAGGGAGAGCAGCAAGTGTCATGCTCGCGTTAACAACAACATGTGGAGTCTCAACTAAAAGTAATAACAAAAATAAAAAAAAATATAAAAATAAAATACAATATAAATATATATAAATATATATAATTATAATTAAATATAATTAATATAAATATGAATACAAAACCTAACAAATTAAAAACGATATGATAAAAGTGATAAATATTATGGAATTATCAAAATTATATAATTTTCCAATATAATATTTTGGAAATCTTAAAATAATTAAACAATTAAAGGCGATTTAAATCCATTAATCGATCTTACCTTTCGTCTATTTCGAGAATACTAAATACGATTTCGAGTTGCTTTTTTAGTTCGCAATCATCGTTTCGTAGAATATCTAACAATCGCGAACAAATATACTTCGTTTGCTTTTTCAGCTCATCAAACAGTTCATCGAGTGGTTCAAAAGCCGATTCGATAAGCTAAAATCCGTCGATCTGTTAAAAATACGAGAACGATTCCATTTAACAATTCAGACTATAATTAATAAATTATTACCTCGATGATGGAAGATGTGTTGTCGTATTGAAGCGCTTCATTAATTAGATGATAGCGAGCACTCTCTGCCTTAATCAACCTATAATTTTGGTTTTTTGGTTGATATTTATGGAATTTCTGGGAAACAAATGATTATGATAGATCTTGACAAATCTTGACAAGTTTGCTTCATCAAGAGAATTCATACTGCTTGTCGTTAGACATAAGCTTAAATCTCAATCCTCCATTATGTCAAATTTAATAAGTAAAAATGAAAAAAAAAAGCTTTACGATAATTCATCTTAATTCACTGTTTTTGTAAAAAGTGGAATTTTTTCATTTTTATTTTTATTTTAGCAATAAAATTTTATTTTATATCATTCTTCATTCAGCTTATTTTGCAGTCGTTAATTTTTTATGATCTTGCTTGCTTTTGTTTGCTTTTATTGCTTTTGCTTTTTACGACTATTGGCTTAGTTTAGAATCGAATAAAAACTTTATGAAAACCTAATAATTGGACGATTAACTAACCCCTCATACGCCAGCAAAATATTATTGTTGGAAAGATATTGGTATATTTCATGGAAAATATTTTCGGCAGATAAATATTTGCTCAGCTCTTCATTGAAACTTATTTCACAGTTTTGCAGCTCATTAAGATATCGCTTTAGGGCAAATAATTCATCTCTATAGTTAGCATTTTTAACTTGCCTTCTAAACAAATAAACTGAATTAAGACAAATAAAAAAACCACAAATAATCATTTTTTTCTTAAGAAATAAAGAAGGATGAGAAAATCTCAAAAATAACCGCTCGCATATTGCTAAAACCCAGGAAATAATAATATTGAGTTGTGCCAAACTCCTTCTTGAAAATTTTCAAATTTTCATGTTTTTTTTCGCTTCGCATTTTAAATTAGACCTACTCAGTTGAACAGATAAATCAGATAAATTTCATCTTTAGTGACAGAAGTATATATGAATCAACAACTGGATTTTTGAAAGAGTTTGCTTCACCGAGGAATAGAAAACCCACCGAAATGAGAACAACTCCGCTATTTCATATAAATCAGTTTAAAAAACTAACAGATCAGTCATACAGGAAACATTTGAATCTGATGCATTTTGCTCTTTTTCGATCGTTTCCGGTATATCGTCTTGATTTTTCAGATTTTTTCTTTTCATCTAAAAGGTTCATGCATTCTCTCCTTTGCAAATGTAATTTTGGCCATCTTGTAACATAAAATTGATAATAACCTGTTCATTAAGTGTATTGAGGCAAATTGTTATCCAGTTCCTAGTTTTTTCTTGGAACGAATTTTTGTGTTCATTATTCGTTAAATCCTTGCCATTCATACTATAATTTAAAAAAAAAACAAATATAAATAAATCGCAGTTTCAATCATCGCAACCATTAACGAACTATTGTACCTTATAAAATATGAGAATTTGCTTATGAATAAAATAAAAAAATTCTAAAAGTTCATTGTTTCATATCGAAATGTATTTTAAATTAACTCATAGGTTCGTAGGGATTATTCGTGATTTTATTCTTATATCTCTCAATTTTAGCAAAATTTACGAAAACATTACCTATAAGTTGAATTATAAAGTGGCCCAAGCCTTGCTTCTTTTTCAATAATTTGAAGGATATGTGATAATACACTTTTGTCATTTCTAGGCCCCGCAATTAATGCGAATCTAATTGCATCGCAAATCTGATTTGCCATTACACCAACTTTGTTGAAGTATTTGGAAATAAACTAAAAATATCAAAGAAATATCAAAATAATCAGTAAACCGCTTTATATTATCAATGAATTATTTCAAAGTTAAATTATTCAAAAAATTGACAGCTCAATTAAGAATGGAAAAAAATTACAAAATTTATTAGAAAATAGAAAATTAGAATAAATTGAATGAAGTCCAGAAAGTCGGAATTTGAGTGATGAAAAGATGGCATGAGATTGAGAGATTTGGGGACACCACACACTAGGAGCCAGTGTAATCAGTCGAACAGTGATTGAAACTGGGTTAAATCCGAAATTTATGTTATAAGATTTGTAAAATATAGGTAAATACTAGTAATATTTCGCATCTTATATTTAATATTGAAAAATTACAATCGACAAAAATCGACAAAAAAGGTTATATCATTTGAATAATACCTATGGATTGCATAGACAAAGTCCTCACTACCAACTCATCACATCCATGTTTAAAAATTTCCTGCTAATCGTTAATGATATCGCTAATGATAAATATGATGCACCTTTGTCCATCTGAGATGTGCCATGTTGTGTACCATAGGCATCATAAAAAGTCTTGGATGGCATTAAAAGGAATGGGAGAGCCATCGAATTTCAGTGCCAGGTCGAAAGGTCTTTCTCATCCTATTAACCAGTGCAGTTAGCCAAATTAGAAATTGCGAGGAAGAATAAAAATAAGAAGAAAATTGGAATAAAAATTTTGACGCTGTATTAAATTGCTGTCCTCCATCTTAAATTTAAGCAATAAATTGAATGTTTATCGATTTGTTTATCTTATTTATATTAATAATAAATAATAATAACAATAAATAATAAAGATAATACATCAAAGTAGAATAAAATTTACAAATGAATGTATAAAAATTTTATAAATCAGGAAATAAAAAATAATCAAATTCGCCGGTATAAATTCTTCGCCACAAAAGGTTTAATTTTCAATAACAATTTTATTCCTCTCTAATCATTTTATATATAATATTGATATATTTTTATGATTCACGAAAAATATAATTTTTTGATATTTTCGAAAGAATTTCAGAAAAAGAAAAGAAAAGAAGATTTTTAAAAAACAAAAAAAAAGGAAAAATCGCCAAACTTCGATTGGATGCGTTTCACTCGATGAATGATGATGATGACAAGAAGAAAAATAAATTGAAAAATTTATGGCAGATGACTAAATATAAGAAAAAAAAAGTTGATTTGATAATCACTTGATAATTTTTACTTATTAAATGTCGTTTTCAATATATTATCATTATTTATTATCGAATTACCCTCATTATTATTATTATTATTATTATTATTATTATTATTATTATTATTATTATTATTATTATTAATTATTATAATCATTATTAATTAATGCTATATCATTATCATCATTGCTAATAATTTTTTTATTATTTCTATTATAATTTTATAATTATATAATCTATTTAGTTATTTAAAGTGAAAATTCTGGTCAACAAAATTGTTTATTTAGATTTTAGCCGTTTTGGCGACATTTTCTAATGTTAAATAAATGAAAATTACGAAAAAAACTTATTTAACTTTTATAAATAAAAATAAATATCTAGGAAAATATTAATAAAATAAATAAACCAAACTTTTATATAACCAAGCTTTCAGCTCTCTGATAAAAAGGATCTCATCGGAGTTATCACTGAAGATAATGGAGCAAGAAACGATGCATGCTATTACAAATAGAATGAGAATGATAATTTAATGTAATAACCGAAATATCGATAATAGTGATGAGTGAATATGTGAAAGGACTGAACAATACAATAAATCTGTGGAATTATCAATTAGCTAGTTGCCATTTCCAAATATGACTTGGCAAACAAAAAACACAATTATAAGCACTAACATGATATTCAGTTGAGGAAGTACACTCGCATAAAGACAGCAGATTACTACGGCACTGCACATACCACAAGAAACTGAAAATATGAACATCCAAAATCTGGTTTATTTAATCCGGTTACTCTATCAACTATTCATTTGAAGAAGATGGTTTGTTTAAAAGCATTTTGTCATAATTTCTCGAACTTTCAAATATTTTCGAAAACTTAGCTTTGGTTTAAATTACAAGTTTGTGGCACGAAAAATCCACTGGTTTAGCCGTTTTTTAATTACTAATTAAATTCAAATTCATTATTTAAGTATTTATTAAATAAACGAATTCTCATAATTTTTGTATTTTCGTTTATTTGTTTGTTTATTTTCGGGCTGAATTGTGCATTAACGAATCAAAAATATTTCTACACCTTTAAAAGTATGTGAATAAGAAAAATAACAATGGAAATACTTTTCAATATTTCACATTTTTATTTTTTTCACCATTTCTGGTCAGCCTCGGTCCGCTATCTGACTCCGTTGGACTTTGCGAAATTTGCCGAGAACTTTCATTTGACGATAAAAGTACAAATTAGCCGCTAACATAGCTTGGATTTTTAAGAAACATTTTACTCCTCGCAGCGGAAACCTAGCAACGGTGCTCCAAAATGAGAATAATGACTATATAATTGTGATTATATTTCTCATAAGAGAATAAATTTAATAAGATAAACCTGATATATGCATCGAAAAATTGATTATTATGCAAATAGAATTTCATATCTTTTGGAATTACTATTGAATCGAGAAGCAACATTATAGATGAACTCATTTTCGCTCGAATTTTTAAGATTTCACTCAGTTTTGCTGTAGTTAAAACAAATTGATCTTTTTTCTTCACCATGTTCACTATCCTAAAAAAA